GTACTAACGGATTAGCTGTATCTATTTGTATCTGCTGACATTACTGATCCTCTGTACATTGAGTAACTGAGACAAGTAATTCTTCCACCAATGCAAACTGTTGTGGGAATCTGCAAGATCACCATGTTATCCTTTACCAAAGTAGCTCTAGGTTGGTAACCCTTTTTAAATTCATTTATTCCTCTATACAGGTCTCTCGTCTTCTTATTCTTATTGTTCGTTGCAAGCTCATTAATTTTGTCTCTCAGATATTCTCTGCTGCTGGCTTCACGTCTTATATTATTCAGTTTATCCCCATTTATTTAACTTGGATTCTATACCCACTGCAGTTATGTATGTTTCCTTTGATTTAATAATTTTAAACATCCTTCCCCGAACCATGGCTTTTGCTTCTTCAGTTCATAATAACCTGGACCCTTTTTGGCTGACATTTTGATACTCTCTGCAATAGTTTACCAAGCTCTGTTAATATCCATGTCATCATTTAAGTTTTCCAAGGCCGCGAACCTATTGAGATTTCAACACGACACTGCTCTTCAGCTTCTGCTTCGTTTCATTTCTTGAGACTGAACCTCTCCATAAGAACTGTATGCCTTTGTTTGTTTACTCACTGCCAGTCTCTCCCTACCGTCTCACAGTCGGCTGCCCTGAATGATCGGACATCGGCTACACTAGAATGCCGTCTCCTATGTGTTAAAATATGCTAAATTATGTTATCTTTCCATCAGATGTTCAAGGAAATTTATGAGTGTTACGATGTGTGAATTTTGTACATTCCACAATCAGATTTTTAGATACGATAAAGTTTATTACTGCCGGACACGGTAGCCGAGCGGTCTAAGGCATGTACTGTCTTCGCTCGCTTGGAAACCGGGATCGTGGGTTCGAATCCCACTCAGGGCATGGATGTTTAGTTTGTGTGTGTGCGTTTTTCTGTGTTTGTATACATGTAGAGGCCTTGCGACGAGCTGATCACCCGGCCAAGGAGTTCTGTCGGATGTGTAAGATCTAGAAAAACCGAAGTGAACGGAGAAGTTCATGGAGGTAGGTCTAGGCCCACTGGGGCTGTAGTGCCAAGGAAAAAAAACTTAACTGCCTTAACCCCATTATCATTACTAATTTCATATAAACTCTCATTGCACATTTTTGTCTGAAAACGCCTTCCCTACATACTGCCTGTACTTTGGCATTGAAACCTCCTAACAAACTTTTCATATGGTATTTAGGGAACTTTGGCTATCACAGTCTCAGAGCTGTCGTAAGGCATGAATTGTCTTCGTCCGCTCGAACGCTGGTATCTTGAGTTCGAATCTCACTAAAGGCGTGGATGTCTGTGTGCGCTTATTCTGTATTTATGTTGTTCTTTGTAGGTAGCGGCCTTGAGACGGGCGATCCCCCATCCTGGGAGTCCTACCGACTGAGCGTAGTGTTGAGAAACTAAAGAAGCGACCAACGTCCAACAAAAGGGCTGTAGAGCCGTAGATAGATTTAGGAAATTTATCGAATTTATGTGACTCAGAATAGGGACCAGTGGAGGGCTCTTGTGAACACGGTAATGAACTTTCGGGTTCCATAAAATGCTGGGAAATTGTCGAGTAGCTGCAGAATTGGCGGCTCCTGAAGAAGGGCTCAGTTTCATGGGTAAGTAAATATGTGCACACATGTAGCTAGGATCATACTGCAGTCTTTTTTTTTTCACCAAAACGAATTCATTCATGTGCGCATGTCAACCCCAGAACGTAACAGTTTCGGGGCATTCAGTTACTTTTATATGATCAGTTTGGATATCGTAAGACTCGAGAGAAACGCGCTGGATATTGTTATCTGTACTTTTGTGCGAACACTTCTCGCTCCAGTAAATGCCGCACGATCTGTGCACGTGACCGGAGGCCCTTCATGTGAAAGCAAGAATAAAACTGCTTCAGCTGCTCCAGAAAATCGAAAAGCAACCAGCACACCAGGACTAACAAGTGACGAAACAACCTCAACAAAAATAAACGTATCTGAACAACCTACAGAGCCCCGCCAGGATTTATTGTTATTATATTAAAACCAAAATTTCAAATGTCATTAGTAAAATTTTCCACTCTCAAAATTAATGAAGAACTTCCAGACGTTCTGGAATTGTTATATGCAGACGGACACGGACAGACAGACAAATACACGTAGACATGGCAATGCTAATAGACGCATTTTAGCACTTTGCATTGCGAATGCACCAAAAATCAAAATCACAAGATTGTTGGTCCTCACAAGAACAAGAAGACCATGAAGCAAGGTCGGTTAGACGAGAAAGTTCTCTTCTGCACTACCGAGCCTTCAGTTCCGGCCTCTGAACCAACGTCGTGCTTTATTGACTAGTGGTACACTTCGCATCGCTTCCCGTGAAGGCCCTTGGCCATTCTCATCTCTGTTTATGCTCATCATATTGACATAATCAATAAACCTACTCTTTGAAGAAAGGCTTAAACTTGACTCAGCTGATGCATAACAAACTGACGTCACTTTCACGGAAAGTGTTTACAGTTGTGGCGTCACACGTGCCAGTCCGAACTTGGCACACAGCGTGAAGTAGGACATCCCAGATCCGAAAAATTGTTGCTGGGGTTCGAATAAGAAGTTACGTATTTTATTCCTGGAAGGAAAATATCTCGAAGCATTATCAAGAATTCTGTAAATTATTTTGAAACATTATCCATTTCCGTACTTATGGATGCCACCTCTCATGGTAACCATCTTTCAAGATGTCGGCCAAGAATAAGTAAATTTAAAGCAAAAATCTAGGTGTTCAGAGAAAAAAACACGTAGGACAGGGCACGGAAGAGAGACTTGTATGGAACGTAGCGGCTCACCTTAAGCAGTTTCCAATTTCTTGGGAATTTTGTTGTTAGATTAGTGTAACGCCCATTACAAATGCAATGGGAAGTCTCGTAATTTTTATATAAGTTTTCGTGTTATTGATTTCCCCTGCTCTCCACATTCCTTTCCAGTTCTACGTGTTATCGAATGACACATCGAGCCCAGCTTTTAAAAGTATCTCCCACAAATAGCCAGTCGTATACCGTCTCCAGTAGGTAATATTGTGCACGTCACATATATAAATCAAAGTATTGTCACGTGTAGGGGGTACGCGTGATGAAATGACAGGTTCTGTTTCGGATGATTGGGTTTATTAGCAGCTTAGTTACACACTCTCTCTTAATTACACTCTAATACAGCGCTATCGCAGATATACACACTTTCAAGCTCAGTTGCACACGCACTAGGATTCTCTGTCTTCCACTAGTCGTCTCCTACCAACGGATCTCCACACAAACTGTGACTTCAAATCACTCCAAATATTACACATAAGATGTTCCAGTCACCCGTTACATCCTCACAGGGCGACCTCTTTATTCTGCTGTATTCCTGGTTCCACTTCGCTTGCTTCCGCCACTCTCAAATACTCCCGGATACTGACTTCTGTTCTGTCAGTAACTGTCGTCCGCACTGACCACGCAGAAAACAGCCTATATTGTTGGAACGTTCTTACTGAGCGATTGCATAGCAACGGTCGCGGCACGGATTCCATAGTAAGCCAGTTACGTGATAGGTACCACCGTTGCGTGACTTCACAGCCTAGCGTGGAGGGGTGTTTACCGCTGCGTAGCAACGGGCTCGGTGTGTGTGTGTGTGTGACGTCACTTGCAGGAACGCAGAGTTCACGTGACCCCTACTCATTATTGCGCAATCCAAGCGTTCACAGAGTTATCGCCTAGCAACGCGCCGAAACAATCCGCAACTCTCTCGTTTTGCGCGTGCCCCGAGGCCTCTGTGACTCAGTATTTCCTACATAGAGCAAATACGCCACGGTATTATGATACTCAGAGACTGATACAGTGAACCTTGATCTTGATCTGCTACATGGCTTGCATTCATGCAAAACTATGTAATTACATTTACAGAGTTCACGTTGAAAGAACGTTTTATATACGGAGGGACCAAAAAAATGTATACACGCTTTATAGAGATTATCTGCGGATACAACCGCAAAGTTGAACCAAACTAATGTACAGTGTGTAGAACATGGTGCTAGTCACTTGAATACCAGAGCCACCTTGTTGAAAGGCAGGATAGTTAAAGAAAATTTGCGGCGGAACGGTGTGTATAGATTCTTTTGGACCCCCACTATATGTGTGTGTATGTATGTAGATGGATATTCCATTTAATTTGTTTAAATTGATACCTATTTATTAATCATGAGGGCTGTATATGCCACTGTGAGCAGGTACAGCTCAGTCGGTATAGCGTCTAGTTTAATTGCTGGACGACTGAGAGATCGGCCGATTTCCGGTAAGAATGATCTTTTTTCTTTTTTTCTTTTCTGTGGTATCCAGACAAATTCAGGAACCTGTCCATCCAGTGTGTACCTGGAGCTATATGGGGAAAAGGTAGAGGTTATTAATATTAAATGCTGATTCTAAAAACAAATGCCAACCGAACAACTGGCAAGAAACACAACAAATGGTTCTGTGCATTTATCCCTGTAGGTACTGCCCTGCACAAAGCTGCGCACACAAACAATAATGAGACAGGACTGAGGTTTTCATCGCAGTGAAGACTGATAAATTAACCACTGGGATATGACACTGTGTAGTCTGGTAGGTTGTTACAAACATTTTGGAGGAATATACAACCTTTACGTTCACTACTTTGAAGATGGAGGCACAATTTTCCTCCGAATTGTTACCACCCAACACAGCACGTGAAGATGTGTGGGAATGTGTTGCTACCCAGATACAAGAATACGTGAAGGTGGAAGAATTATGGTCCTCCACACTGTTGGTACCCAGCCACCAGACTAGGATGTCATAACCCAGAAGCTTACGGTACACAATGTGACAAGAAGTGCACATCAGGTGACCGCCCGCTCAGCTGTGTGCTAATACAGCGTCATTGCTGGAGGAAGGATGCTAATGGGCGCGAGGGGAAGGCTGCATGAACTTGCTTTTAAAGCGGAGCCGCCGTGCGGGAAGGCCCAGTCTCTTTTGTTGCGTTGACGGAACTGCCATGAGCCGCCTCTTCGTCCTGTCGCTGCTGGTCATAGCCGCGGTGTCTGCAAACGCAGGTGTGTACTCCCGTCTGAATGTTGCTAAAATCTTACAGACATTTTTTAATAATTCAATTTCTGTATCACAGGAATTGCACTGCCTCTCAGTTACAGTAAGCAGTCGGTTAACGCTTTTTTTTAAGTGATCACTCTTTAGCATGAAAATCGTACGGAATTAAACTGTTAGTTATTAAGCAGCCGGTTAATTTACTAATCAATGTACTTTTAACCGTGAATATTTAAACATAGCCTCAGAGCAACTCCTACGCGTATATTCATTGTCAGACTGGTGCTATATGGAAAATAAATTTTGCGAAGGAATTATCACTGCAGTAGGAGTACACTACTAATTTCAAGTACCAGAGCCCGCCATTGGACACAGAGTTGATTATAAATACCTCCCATCCTCACATCTTACCTCCGTAAGAACCAATTCCTTCGTCTATCAAATTCACGTTTTGCAAGAGGTCCCTCCGCCAAAATTCTTTGCGCATTTCTGTGTTCCTTCATAGCAGTCGGATGTACAGACCATCCCGAAGGCCCTCGCTGTATGTTGCATATTTAATGGTTACTTCATCCTGCTTAGGTCCAGATATGGAACTTGAGATTATCAAAGAGGTGAAAATTAAAACTGGGATTTGGGGACGTGACGCCATATATTCTGGTAGATAGATATCGCTGTTTCAGAAGAACCTGTTTCCTCCATCTCTTCCACTCTGAAGCCCGCAGTCGTAATTCCGCTTAGCGGTCTGCCTTCAGACATTTCAATAACGTTGAATAACAAAATATTCTCAACATGCGGAGACTGTAGCATTGATATGCAGAGCCATGTGGTCCATGCCACTTGGTGAACAAATTAGCAATGGAGCAGATTTATTTCGTGGCATTTCTGTTATGTGTGTGTGTTTTCCTTCCACCAGTATTCATACTGAGAATGTAACAAGCTTTGTATTATAATCTGTGCCATGTTTAACACTGTGGTATGCGGTCTTCACAGCGACGGGTTGTGGTCTAGTCAGCCAAGAGATCGGCGTTAGATTTCCGGCACAGGAAAGAGATTGTTCTCTTCTCCGAAACGTCCAGACTAGTCCAGGGTCCCACCCAACCCCAAATTCAGTTTATATCGTGGAGTGTTTCGCCTGCGGTGACCGGAACTGGAAGTTGACTACTCATCTCTACGCAGTGCCGAAGTGAAGATTACGTGGATCTATATCTCCACTCCCCATACGTCTCATGGCGTGGTGCTTAATTAATTAGGCGCAGAGACAGCGGTACAGCCGTGTAAAGGGGGCAGACGATCAGGCATGAGTTGCAAAGCCCGGAGAATGTGGAAAGCATTGTCACATATTACGTCTATTTTCTTTCGTTAAAGATACGAGTCTCGATCCTACACGCCTCGTTGTTAGTAGCAGCTGTAGACACTGGAGACAGCTTCTGTATGGAAGTTTTGGAAGCTGGGTGCGACGTCTAGCTACGTCTACGCCCATTTCCAGAACTGATTATGGCATTAATTTGTTAAAGCATACAATAAAATTCAGCTACGAATGTTGTATATGTCTGCAGTGAATTAAATTTGCCGACTTTGTTACTTTGCCTTTATACATTGTATTTCAGTACCTGGCTCTCGTACCGTACTATGAAATGGTACATAAGATACACGCAAGCGATCAGAACAACAGAAATTTCAAGGAAGAAATTGTCGTTCTGATCCCTATTCTTGATCATATGCTCTGAAGTACATCCCAGTGGAGTTCTTGCATCCACAATTTTCAGAGATAGAGAAAACAGTTTTCTTTTTACAGAATGTTTGTTTTAAAGGTTTTAATACGTCATAAATAATATTGCCACGTGATGGGGTGTGACTATAGACGGGGTTTGGATTGGTAATCTGATTTCTAACAGCAACAACTTAACGACTGAACATCAGCAGTTCTCTGACTCACTGACTGACTAACTAACTCAGTCACCAACCAACTCAAATCAACTGACTTCACTCAGAGTCAAAGTCAGAATTACTTTGCGACTGGTGGATTACCGCCGATCAGATCATCTTGGCGCTAATCCTCTTGAGGCCCACGAGCGAGGTTCTTTTGCAGCCGAACCCTTGCGTAGTTCTCTATAGCATGGTTGTCACCACAAAAATTATATTTCGGACCAATGTCAGTGTGGGGCTGTAATTTCATTTATTAGGAGCAGCAGTCGTAAAGGTGCGGTTACAGTAATTATCGAGACGTCGCTGCACGTGTTCACTTATCCTCCCTTCTGTCCATTTACTTGATTAACGTATCGCCGCTCACCACCAGCCTGACTATCGATATGTTAAAATGTTCCCTGCGCCTTTTGATTTGCCAGGCAGCCAGCTACATGTGTCCCAAGGCCACACAGGGGGAGCCATGGTATAATTATAGGCGTATGCTCTTTTCCTGCCCTGCTCTACCAAAATTGGTGATGCTGCTCTATCGCCATCGAAGTTAGGTTATGTAAACCAGTCATGAGGAAAGCACATTTCTGTAACAGGCTGTGTAGCCGTTATAAGAATGCGCCAAACATTTTCTGCAGTTCCACATCACTACACTGAATGTCTGTCCTCATTATCTCCTCCTGGGAAAACTGAATTAGCAATTTCAGTGTTTAACTGACGTGAGGGATATGCCTCTTTGACTCTGCATATGATACTGAGACCGTCATTAAATAACCAATCGAGAAATATACTTGAATATAGTCAATTCCTCCATCAGCTGATTCGGTGACTAGATATATTTAATATGTTTTCTTCCTTAACTGGAATACACTTTACTCAAAGAACCTCTCCACATAGAAGAACAACAGATAATGTTTTCTGCTTCCATCAAAACAGAACTCTTAGTAAGTACATGGGCGTCGGCGTCATCAATCCAATTGCCCCACACTACGCCTGGATTTCAGAAAGGAATTTAAATTAAAAAAAATACCAAATATTAATACTGTCACGTATCCGAGGTTTTGCATGACTAATAACGAGGGTTTTGGATTTGATAATCGAATTTATTGGAACTTTGTACAATTGGGTGCAACAGTTCACAAATCACTATCTGACACACTGTCATATTCTTCCGGCTGGACACTCCACGGGAACTGTTCTGACTTCCATCTGAACTGTCAGTTCAAGTGAAATTCACATTGCGACTGACGGTCGGTCAGTCGGTCAGTCAGTTAGTAAGTCCTGGTGTCGAGGCCCATCTGGGGCTCATGACCAGTTTGACAGTTACGGTCTTGTATTTTTTTTGTGGGCCGCCCTCTCTGACGAGAGGACGGGTCTGTCTTTTGTATATGCTGTTGGCCCTTACCAATTAATGACGAATGATCATGCCGACTTGCGGCTTGCATCGATAAGAAACCTGAAGTAACTTAAATTAAAAAGAAAGTATGCACCATACAAAAATGGATGATATACACCAACGTTTCTCATACTCTTATCATTACATCTAGGGGTACCAAAGTAGCTTGGGAGGTGTAATATAAATCTTCGTTTCCCACGCTCTCATTGAAAGTGTTGTCTGATGGAGTTGTTTTTATTTTCAATCGACTAAGAATTAATTTGCCGGTCACGGTAGCCGAGCGGTCTGAGGCATGTACTGTCTTCGCTCGCTCGGAAGCCGGCATCGTGGGTTCGATTCCCACTCAGGGCATGGAAGTTTGGTGCTTGTGTGTGCGTTTTTCTGTGTTTATGTATAGGCCTTGCGACGAGCTGATCACCCGTTCATGGAATTCTGCCGCCTGTAAAAATGCTAAAGAAACTGAGAAATCAGCCCTATGCTCCAAAGTGGGAGCAAGAAGAGAAAAACAATTAATTTATGCATTGGCACCCCAAGAATTTCTTACAAGGAGTTGCAGCCAAATTCTCTGTTTACAAACTTACATTTATACCTTTAAGATTAATATTATTGTCCGCCCTTTGGTACTCAGGATAGAAAAAATACATTTTTAAACGATGTATATATTTTATTTTTGTATTTGATATATTTCCTTCTTTTTAAATTTATGCATTTCCGGCTTGGGCTGACTGAGTTATTCCACAGGGCTTGCTGAGACTTGGACTTCAGTGTTCCGTTATTACCCTGCAACTGTTATAGTTGAAATAAATACTACCACTCTCTAAGAACTGTACCACCGCTGCCACCTTCCCATCCTTCCTGTCTAGGCTGCAGTCTAGCATATTGCTTACCTGATCTATCTCCTCTTCCGTGAAGTCGGGCTCGAAGTAGGCACATTTGGCGTAACGTACCGTTATTTTCACCTTTCCCGGACTCACTTTGATTCTTGATAGCCACGGTTAAACAAGACATGCAGTTCCATCTCTAGGCCTCCCTGAATCATCTAGCTTGTCCGTGTTTACCCCTCATGTTGTCTCCAGTCTTTCAGTTTTCTGCCAACACAACTGTCAGAGATTCCTAAGACGTCATTGGGCATTTAATCCTTAAAGTGCTGTCTGTTCTCTCGATTTTCCCAAGAAGCAAGATCAGTCATGCTGTGTCCTCATTCTTTCTCTGCTTCCTCTGTCTGAATTGAAGGGACTGTCCCCTTCATCCTGAACAGTGGGCCGCACGCGTATGTTTCTGATGACATGGGATGCCAATTTTATGCCCTCTGTTTCTTCTTGGTTTGTTAGTTTCTTGCAGCCTCTTACTTATCCTCTTCCCTGCCGCACGCGTATGTTTCTGATGACATGGGATGCCAATTTTATGCCCTCTGTTTCTTCTTGGTTTGTTAGTTTCTTGCAGCCTCTTACTTATCCTCTTCCCTGCCGCACGCGTATGTTTCTGATGACATGGGATGCCAATTTTATGCCCTCTGTTTCTTCTTGGTTTGTTAGTTTCTTGCAGCCTCTTACTTATCCTCTTCCCTTTCGTTTTAGGTATTCCTTGATACCTCCAGGAACAGTAACCCCTTCAAGCCTTTCATTGTATACCATTTCTGCTACTGTCAGGTTTCCCTTGTCCTCGCCAGTTCCGGTTCTGGAAGCCGGTATCTTGTGGTTT